AAACAGGGTTGTCATCTCGCACACAGATTCGCTGATGATTTTGGTGGTGGATTCCAAAACTGAGTGTCTCACAAAGCAAACTGGGTACAGTAGCACACTCAACTTATCATTCCGTTTATGCGATGATGATTAAATGTATTATAATTTCTAACGAACACAAAGATTTTACTTTATTTCGGTTACAATCTTTAGATTTATAACTTTTTGTTATTGAGTTTTAAAATATCTAATGGCGATAAATATACTAAGAATGGTGAACAAATCCTTTTTACCAAAACCTTCTTAACAATTTTAAAAATCTAAATAATATTAATTTTGTGCATATCCTGAACTTAAAATTATTTCAATCTATATACGCATAAACGGCAAAGCATGTCCTCATCACATGGAAACGTACATTTGTCACTGGCTTAAATATGGCTCTAACTGTTTTCCATCCAAAAAAGGGGTGACATGCGTCGTTTGTCCAATTTGTTGCGCAATCAAACCGTCGCCTGGACTCCTCTGAAAAACGTGCGTGTCGTAAACCAAGTCCATGTCCAAGTCCAGGTCTTTTAGCTGGTAATTGGTTTGTCATTATAGCAAAGTCGAGACAGAGAAAAGTGCAATGAACTTGGGCTTGAAAACAGGAGAGATTGTTTTTGTTGAACTTCGAAAGGGGGAAGGTTCAGCTGCCTTGCCTTCTGATCTTGGCACGTTCTATTAGGAACCTCAACCCTCGCTTTCAACCTTGGCACCTTTTCTAATAAACGATTTTTTCCAGGTATTTTATGGGACTAGAACACAGCTGACAAGAGAAGAAACCTTTCTTTCCTGTTTTCCAAATTCTTTATTTCCTATATCCCACCCGTAATTAAATGAACAAGGTCCTGGCACTCACACCCAAAGGATCATTTCTAGTTATGTCCATTTTTTCCCATGCCTCGGTCAAAGTTCAGAGAAAGATTTATGGGATAACCGATTGAATTGCTAAGAACTCTGATATCTGCAATGGGGAGCTCTAAAAACCATTTCCATACTGAACAGTTGCTCAATGAGGGTGCTCTTCTCATTCTTTTGTTGTCCAGAAAATTACTAAACGTCACCAAATCGAGGGGATATGTGTTCTATACAAGTCTCTAGACATGGATGCTATTTAACGACACAACAAAAAGCACAAAACTCAATGATTCAATGATACTTTATCGCCAAACTTAATCTTCTTGAGACGATGGGGGGGACTTTGAAGTGACATTACATGGGTTGGGTGTGATGGGTGAAGTGAAGAGCCCAAATAATGTGGGCTATATATTTCAAGAGAATGTTTCAATCAGTGCTGCAATTTATGAAAATCTATATTGGTATATGATGTAATTGAATATTGATTTTAAAGGGTTAACTCAATTGCTACGTTGTGGTAATTGCTGTGTTACACCATGAAATATAGGGGCAAAAAAGAGGAAATCAGAAATGTGTGAAATATAAAAAAGGTCTCATAAAATAAATTCAGAAATTCAACCATCAGAGGAGTATATTAAATTAAAATAATTTCCCACATATACCAAAAATATTTGATCGATGGTTGTTGTTTTCAGTACAAAAATATTTGGTTTTTTCTACTGTTTTTCGTTTGTGATATTTTTATTTTGTAAATTTATCATGCTTAATAAATTTGATTCTGTCAGGACTACCCGCATTCTTCATGATATTTCTTTTTGCTGTGTAAATTTTAATCGAATTAACCAAGGGCCAGAGAAATCTGTGTACACATTATTAGCTTGATTGCCCTTTGTTCCTATTGGAAAATAATTTTTCTCTATTAAATTGTCTTTAAATTGAATTTGATGACGGAACCCAAGCCAATTCCAATCGAACTCTGATTTTTAATTTAGTTTATCACTTATTGTTATTTAATCCTTTGGCCAGGGCATCGTCCGCATCCTGGACAGATGTTTGTCTAGCTCCAGTGCTCCCTTTTAATGCCTTGTTCGCGGGATTAATGTGAGGGCAAAAACCAGAGGGTGGTGATAGGGGAAAGCATGTGTGTTGATTTTTGCACTATGGTGGGTCTTAAGCCGTATTAATTTTCAATAAGTGCATTGAGGTCTATGAAATGTTTGATAAATGGCGCAGCGGGTTAATCCTGGATGTTGAAAAAGGACGTAATGCTGTTATATCCCGTAAACTAAGCGGAAACCACATCTATAGCACGTGACTTCAAGGAAAAATAACGTGACTAGGCAAATAGAACCTCAAATGTATTAATCCTCAAGTTGGATAAGCTTTGACATTTTATTTTTCAATAAATAAGTGGATTGTAATTTCTACAAAAATAAAAAATATCACAATTTTTTGGAAATTAAAATTGGACTTAAAAATGAACTTACCCATTTTCTTAACAAACTTTTTTTTTAAATTACTATGTGTTTTATATGTGAGTTCATTTGGGTTATATATAGATATATAATTATATGTGTATAAATATGTATGTAAGATGCATATAACTGCCTAAAAGTATGCTACAATTTACAATATTAACCTTAGCTAATACACAAACCGTTTAACGGTACAGGCACGTTTATGAATCGGTTAAAACGTTTCTAGTTTAAATTGATCTGATAATTTGTTTTATAAGCTATTATATAATAGGTACACATTCATTTGATTTAAATGTTGAAGAATTAATTCAATTTGAATAAGGTAATTTTCAGGAAAACTCAACATTGTTCTCAACATTGCTCTTCAAAACAAAAGCGTTGTTACTTTTTCAATCCTTCCTCCAAATTTAAAATGTTTAAGTTATTAAAATATTGCGTTCGCAACCCTGGAAAGGCTTAAACTTAATCTGCACTTAATCTTCATGGAGGTCGTGATCTGTATTTATTCTGGATTTATTTATATTACTCACGCTCTGACCTTTTCAATAGGAAAAAACCGCGTGCATAAATCACTTGTTTAAATTTCGCGAAGTTCGTGCTGGAAACTGAACTCAACTAAACTTTGTCTGATGCAATCCCTTGTAAAATTTAATCAGTGTAAAAACGTCACAAAAAAGCGGGAAAACAGTTGAGAGCATCCAATTCCAGAAAATGTGTTTGCCTTGTTGTTTTGTTTGTTTTTGCCAAGTTTTTTACCTCAACATTGTTTGCTTATGTTGTGTTTTCTGGAACAGGGGTGCCTAAAAAGGGGAAAAGGGGATTTCGAAAATTGAAACGGATCTTTTCACTTTATTGATTGATATTCTCGTGGCTTCGGCTGCCCACTGGCCCTCATTAATCATGGGCAAAACAACTATTGGCTTATTGCCGTAATTCTCTGCTAACGAAGTGAAGAACTTTGGGCTGTCGAGTTCCGGTTAATTATATAATTTTTAAAAATAAATAATTCACAGACTCACAAAATAAAAGAAACACTATAAATTAGACGAAATAAATTAAAATTCAGAATTTATTTGTTGCCAGTTCCCAAGGCAATTAAAAATAATACTTAATTTTAAAACTGCGTTATGTATTTACATACATATGTTGGACCTATTCTATCCCATTTCTAATTTTGGATATTGTTCAACATTTTTTTAAATGTTGCCCAACTTACATTACTCTTTTCTATTGATTTATTAATTTTGTAGAAATATTGGTATTATAAATCAACTTACATTGGCAATTTTAGTTTCTTGTTTTGTTTCTTTTTGCAAAAGTTCTTAATCTTTTTGTATACAACTTGTTCAGATGTCTTAAATTTGTTTAAAACAGAACAATAATGTTTATATTGAATAATTCATTTGCATGGCCTTTTATATTGTGTGCCCTTAGCCCTTAGATCTATTCTATCTTTAATTTTCATATGGCAGCCCCAGGCGCTGGGCTGATGAATTATGAATATGCCCAGCGTCGGCTCGTGACTCAAACAGGTGCACAATCAAAGGGGGGATGGGGGCATGCCAGGTGGGTCGAGACCAGACTCTAGACGAGCCCCTCCTCCAGCAGCATTTCCCTCTTTCCGCCTTTCAGCCTTTCACCTCCTGACATTGGCGTTTTAATGTTTCCTACAACAGCAAAAATTGCTTAATTTATTCAACGGTTTTCGTGTGACTTGAGCAAACTGAAACAATAAATCCAGCTAAATGCATAAGAAATAAGTGCTAATAAAATAAAACATTACCCAAAATGAAAGGCAACTGGTTCTGGAGGAAAACAAACACGCAAATAAATATCTATGTACTGCTTTCGATTTCGATTTGAAAGTTTCTTAACTGAACTAAGGCCAGGCGGATATGGTGATCATGCAAAGAATATACCTTCATATGCATAAGCGAGTGATTTAATCAGAGTCATTAGCACAGGGATTTAAGTATTCCGTTTCATGCTGGACCAATGTACACACAGACCCCCTACAATTAGCCCCCGGGCCGACCTAATCGCGATGATATAATACCCGTACATCGGGGCTCATTGTGCCGCAAAAAGATCACAGATCATTGGATCTTTTGTTGGCTCCGTGTTTGATTTACTTGCGGAAATGTTGGGAGACAGCTCAAGGAATTTACTACATGTAAATGTCAATTTTGATCATTCAAGAATTAGGAGACCTCTAAGATGCCTGCATTAGCATCTGAATGAACTTTGCGGTGAACGAAAATTCTGTGCTTCCTATAAAAATCGTTCAAGGTTTCCAGATCTCTCTATCGCATTTGAATGGCCAATCTATAATACTTTTTATAAAATTTGTAAAATTTAGAATTTATTTGTTTAGCTGTCTATTACTATGATTCGTTTGATTGCTGATAGGCTGTTCTCTTCATGTCTGAATTGTTTCCGCAAACAATATACTAATGGTAAAGAAAAACAATACAATTTGTAGTATTAGGAGATTTTTTATTATTTTGCATGTATTTTTAATTTATAATTCCAAAAAAAAATTCAACTGCATTTTTGCAAAATAAATATATTTTTAAAACTTATTAATTTCATTATTTAACGTACAAACCTTTTTGCTTTTTCCATTATTCTCCAGACTCTTGATTAAAGTATCACAAATAGTTTTATTCAGTTTCGAGTCTTAATCCTTAAGTACAAATTATAACATTTATGCATTATATATAACACAAAATTAAGGCTACGAGTAGCAATTAACGCTTAGCATCGAGAATTTGAATATGGCAAGGGTCCTTCTCTCATCTTTTTGCTCATCTCACGAGAGCCAGGAGAAGAAGGGCCGTCAGACTCCAACTGATAGCTCCACTAGCACCACTTGTCCTGGCCACTGGATTCTCTGCCGGCAACTGAGCCATGGCCACTAGTTGCTGTTCCTCATCGAGCTTGGGTCTGTAGCTCCAATCGATGGTGTTGGTCTTACAGATGTTGGCAAAGACTCGTGCCGAAATCTTAGGAGTTCGCGTGCGTTCCGGGGAATTGAAGTCCACGTGGTAGAGTCCAAACTTCTCCGAGAAGCCGGCCTTCCACTCATAACTGTCCATCAGACTCCAGGCAAAGTAGCCACTGATATTCGCACCATCCTCCATGGCATCCAGCACCGCGGAGAGGTAGTGATTGTAGTAATCCACACGGGCGTAGTCCTCCAGACCTCCACGATCACTAACTCCATTCTCCGTGACCATTATCTCGGGTGCATTGTATTCGCGGTGTATCCACATCAACAGATTGTACATTCCCTTGGGATAGACCTGCGAAAACGGAGTACAACCCCCAGTTAGTGGAGTTCATTCACCTGTCCGCCACCTGGACGAAAGTCACCCTCTTTTGATTCCCGCCTAAGTAGTTTACTCGGCAAACCATAATTCAAACTGTAAGTGGGGATAAGTCAACCCTCGAGCTACCTCCAGCACTCCACCAAGTTAATTACACCACCTCATCCTGGACGTGAGGGATTTCCCATCTCACGTCTCCAGAGGGTGAGCCACAATCAATTTAGCCGACTAAGCGAAAGATAATTGAAGTCGTGGAGATGAAGGAAATATGGTTTTTGTGTAAAATTGTGGAAGGTACAAGGAAGAAAATTTTCATGACCTCGTAATGAAGTTACTGTGGCAGCTAGGAAATTTTTAAAGTGCTTGAAATTTTTTTATAGCCCACTAAATATAGAAAACATATTTTACTTTAAATTTAAACAGAGATTTGATGAAATATTCTTCTTAAGAAATTTAAAATTGATTGGAGATCAAGAACTAAAGTCCCTTATTGTTAGCTATACGAAGTTTAGATCTTTCATCCTTTGGATGTGTCAGACTCGTGAAATATTACTTCCCTCTTTTAAAATAAAACTTATTTGGGGGTATTTCAGAATTTACTTATTATTATCCCTTTCCTGACTGAGGTGATAGTAAATCAGTAGTAAGGCTCCCAGACCCCATATTTTTTCCTCAAATATCTTAAGACCTATCACTACAATCACACTCACCTTAAGCCAAACTGATCCGGAACCGGGCCAGTCGACGCCTTCCTGGCTCTCGACCACACCCATATCATGGTTGAAGGACGGCACTGGGAACTTGCCGGTATTATTGTGACCATTCGAGATGACCAGATTACTGGTGTATGAGTTAATGCCGAAGAAATCAGAGGTGCCGCGGATGCGAAGGATTTCCTCATGGGTGAATTCAGGCAGTCTGGATCTGGACCCAAAGCCTTGCTCCTTGCTCAGGCTCCTAATCCGATCGATCATCACTTTGGGGTAGTTGCCGTGCTTGGAGAAGATGGGATGACCGAACCAGCCCACATAGAACTGCATGGCTCGCTCGGAGGCCTCGCGGTCCTCGGCGGAATTGTGATCCTTGGGCTCCGGCCAGGATGTGTCAAGGGTGATGCCAATGCGTCCACCTTGTCGTGGTTGAAAGAGTTCCCGATACATGTGCACCACCTCAGCGTGGGCCTTTAGCAGATTGTGGCCACAGAGGTAGGCGGGAATGCCGGGGTAATTGTAAGACGGTGCCATGTAGTCCACTCCGTAACCGTGCTCACACACATGCCACGGCTCATTGATGGTGGTCCAGATCTTCACCCGATCGCCGTACATTTCCATCACCAAGCGAGCGTAGTCCTTGAACAGCGGTATAATCTCCGGATTGGTCCAACCACCCAGCTCTTGCAGCCTTTGCGGCAGTTCCCAGTGATAGATCGTCACCATCGGTGTGATATTGTACCGGAGCAGTTCGTCGATCAGGTTTGAGTAGTACTTAATGCCCGCCGTGCTGACGTGATTCATATAGCCACCGGGCATTATCCGGGGCCAGGATAATGAGAAGCGGTACGTGCTCGCATGCAGCTCTTTTACCATTTGCACATCTCGTTTCCACTAAAAAAGGATTAAGAAAATAGAATCATTAATACCATTACTAAATAACTATTTGAAGAATAAATCACTTTTTAATTTTTTACAACTAGTAAAGAGAATCATAGTAAATAGGTGCAGAATATAATCTTTAAAATGTTTTTTTTTCAAATTGTATATTTTACATTATTTATTCAGAAGGAAAAAAAATCAATTACGGTTTTATAATTATGCAAAGAATTTTTATAGAGACGTTTAAATCATGCCAGCTGTCTAATGAAGTGTAAATCAAACCTACAGCTTTGAGTTTATTAAAGCGATACTTTGCGGTTTGTTTCTTGTATCTTTCGTCAAGGCTTTATACATTTTAGCCATACAAAATCAAACAATTAATGACAAAAATCTGCCGATTTTCCAATTTACCAACCCAATTTAAAATTAGTATAGACAAATCAAAGCAATCACATTAATGTCCACTGGCATTAAAGTTGACATGTGGACAAATAAATAAACTTGCAAATGGTTACTTAAAATGTCGGAAAACTAGACTGCAGCACTCTGACTTGTTTGCTGCTGATTGTTTCGGTTTTCCTCAAAACTATGCCATGTTTCCGAAAAACTGAAAATGGTAATAGAAAACCAGTTGGTCGAGCGTTGGCGACACATTCCACCTTCAATGGTCATTGTCGCAACTTGGCCCGGAGCTCTGACTTTGGCTTTGGCTCAGGCTCTTGCTAATTATGTGACTTTGAATTGAAAACAATTCAAATCGCGATCGCCGAGCGTTGCATATGAAAGGAAGGGGCGTTTAAGCTGTCGGTCCACCTATTTAATCCATTTATCAAATCGCCTGTCGACGCTGACAACAATAACAAGCCGATGGCTGACAAAAAAATCCAGCACCTGATGCAAATGCCAACAGTTGGCACCCGTAACCAAATCATTTAGCCTATTGATTGGCATTAGTTGGCAAATTATGATACAATGTTGCCTCCAACTCAGTCGGCATCGATAAATTATTGAAACTATTTCAATGCAAATTACTTTTCAAAAAAATACTAGGAAGAATCTCGTTTAGTCTATGCAAATTTGGTTTTTAAAATGGGAGCAATAATAAATTAAAACTTTTCTTTTATATTCTAAAATATGTAAAAATATGAATTTTGCTTAACTATTTGTGAATTAATAACCTTATTTCATTTTATTAATTATTTATTCATATAATTATAATTTACTGCATGCATAAAAAATGGTTAACATTTATCTTAACATATCATTTCTAAAAGTGTGCTATCTTAACATATCAGTCTATCTGAAAAATGGGTCAAATGCTTAATGATACATAGTTTGTAAAGATCTTTATCTAGTCTAACAAGATTGTTGTAGATTGTTTGCTACTACCTATCTATCAGAAACGTCTATACATTATCATCTGTCTGCCATGTAATATACTTCAGTTCCGTTTCAGGCCCACAAACAAGTCACGCCCTAGTTCTAGTTGATCTGCCCTTTAAGTCGTTTTTTTGTAAGAAGATCATTAATTCAGCACTGTTCGAGAGTCCATTTATCAAATGCAAAGCGCTGAAAGCCTCCGATGGAGACAAGTTGATTATCAGAATAGAGTAGGTAATCAAACAAAATTCGAAGCAGGTGTCCCACTATGGCAAAAGCCTGCTGCTCATGATTTATGCGATTCTTTGTTAATGGTTTTGTGGTCAGAACTATGCAAATTTACGGCCTGTAATGGGATTCAACATTGTTCGAGATGTATCGCATGCCCGCACTTGAGGATGATATTATGGCCTGTTGAAATGGGTACTTGATTATAAGTTTTACTTGGTTTCATGTTATTAAAACATAATTGACCAATAATCTTGGCTTTAAATTGATTGGGGGCACAACTCAAGATTATCTTATAACTCAGAAGCCGCGTGCAGAAGCTATAGACTCTTGAAACTGGATCTATTAGGAATTCAGAGTTTGAAAAAGATTTTGCTTAAGAGCTATTGAATAATGTAATGGGTGAGTAAATCATAAAAATGATGGAAAATTATGAGTTGTAAACAAATAGCAAAAATATCAACTTAAGCCCAATAAAAATGACTTCATTCCAGATGCCTTAAGCTAAGACTCTAAAGTTGTTTTTTGCACCTTATATATAAATTTGATTTAATAGGTTTATTATAATTGTTGTTTAACCGTAAACGATTGGCACAAATAGTCTTTAAAATTTCGCAGAAAACATAAAAAAATCAACAAAAGATGCGAACAATTTTATATATCTTTTAAAAATATGATCTTCTTTATCTTACCCTTAAAGTGTAAAATTACTTAAGAATAAAAACAAATCAACCAAATCACTCAATTAAACTAGTTTCATTTACAGAAGTTACAAGTCTGGGTATATATTTGATCACCAATCGCTACAATATTAAAATGTTATAAAAGTGATTTATAGATCTCTTTAGACTCTTAAGATCACAGATCACTTCTTTAAATCCATCTAATTTAATCAGCGTCAAAAGCTCTAGATATTATCACGTAATTAGCTGTGTAACTAATAGCCATCTGAGTGCACATATTTTCCAGTCGATTACCTTAGCTAGTCAGTCGACTGGAGATCTTGAACTCTTTGCATAACTTCCAATCAAATTGTGATGCCAAACCAATCGACGACTGATTCTGAATACTACCATTATTGAATTGCCCATTAACCAATAGCGACGTGACTCGATTCTCGGCTTACCTGATGATAGCTGTCCGCTGAGATATCACCATTTGATTGATCGGCTATTTTCTCGGGATGTGTGTGGGTGAGAAAGTCCCAGATCGATTCCCCCTTGTCATCCGCGTTCCAGCCTCCCTCGATCTGGTAAGAAGATGATCCAACGCCCCAGAGAAAGTCGCTGGGAAACCGACGAGTTTGGCTCACCGGACTGCCAAGACATCTGTAAAGATAATATGGTAATGTGTTAATCGAAAGATATTGCTAAATCTGCTCTTCACCCAAAGCCACTGCCAAACAGGTGGCATTCAAAATTGACGAATGTTACGACAATTTTTATTTACTTTTCAATTTTGCATACATTTTATGATCTTGGATAGTCATTTATATCAATTGCCGAACGGCTGCTCAAGGTCAGTCCAGATTTGGAGCTTTCTTTGAGCCAAATTCGCTTTTTTGGCAGCTTGTGGCATGCCAAGGCGATTTGGAACATCTATTCAGGCTGTTTTTGTCGCCAGTAATTCATTTTGTACTAACTTTGGATGATTAAAACATATGCAACTTAAATGCTCGTTTAACAGATCAAATGATTAGTTTTGACTCATTGTTTTGGTTGCATTTTATTATCTGTATTTATTATTATACTATTTTTTTATAAAACCTAATTTTCGTAAAGGAAAAATAGATTAGTCCGTCTAAAGCAATCAATGTTGCTAAAATATTCCCTTATTTACTTTTATAACGATTCTGCAGTGTAAAGGTTAATTTCTCTGTTTTGGGAACTAACAATTTAATTTAGGAAATTTTAAAAATTTGATTTTGGAACTTAGTTCTTTAGAGTTAAGAAAACTAAGGAAAACTTTTAACAAGCTTAAGGCATTATTTATGAGAATTTAGTTTACATTAAAATTATATTATTTATCGTTATTATAACACTGTATTTTTAGATACATTTTATCGTATCTTAAATTAACACTTACGATGCAATCACCACAAATACGGGCAGTATAAATTTCAACATGTTTGTTGTTCTTGTGTATCCTTTAACGCGAAACTAATTGGTTACAAACGAAAACTTTAGGCAGTCAAGTCAAGACTTTGGCCTTAAACTTTTTCGTTAAATTTGGAACTTTTCGCGTTTTTTAGCCGCTTTTTACTTAACTGAGCAGCGATTACGATTCGCAAGCGTGTTAACCCGACCGCGAAACGCTTGCAAATGAACCCCGGCGCTTTTATGTCCTACCGTTATAAAGCGATCGACGGGCGTATCGAGTCATAGACAAGTTCTCACTCCCTCTCTTTCTTACTTTTTTTTTTGTTCGGCGAATATCACCAGCAGGTGCCGATGTTATTATTATCTTTTTTGTTTTTATCTCGAGTTTGCTTTGTTTGATTTTCAAATATGCATTTACCGGTTACGTATTATCAATGGAGAGGAACGGAAAGATTCTGGATCCTTTTTAGCCGGCGATAATAAGTGAAATCCCATCGAAATTAAAAGGAAATGTACCGATTTAGATTAGCTTGCAGATATTGCATCTTCCATATTTAAACGCCGGCTAAGCATAAATTATGAGATAATAAATACTTATAATAGAACCGTAAAAGTACACGATTAGGGCTTAACTAAGGGTTTTATTATTTTAAGTTCGATTTTCAAGAATATGAGACACGTTTATCGCATTAAGAAATCGAATGTAACCTTATAACTATTTAAAAAGACTTTAAAATATTGGGTATTATTAAAATACCCACAAGAAGCACGCTAATCTCATTAAATAAAGTTCGTCGATCGCTCATTTACATATTTAATAAATTAAGTAACAGTTTCTGTATAATTCATGTATATAAGGCCGTAAAATAAACACAAAAGGCACGTTTGTGGCATTAAAAATTTAATTCTATCTAAAAAGGAATCTATACTTTTCATTCTTTTCTACTTTTTTTAACGTAAACTACTTACAAGAATCAAGTTGATTATGCCAAGTACTAAAAACGAAAGGTACTATTAATAGAATTATGTAATATTTAATTTTCTTAAGTTTTTACAAACTCAAAAACGATAACAATGTTTAAACAAGAGCAGGTAAACAAGCACACTTTTTCACCGGAAGAGTGATAAAGCGATGAGAGTTCGGTTCAATAATATCGGAATGATAAAAGCTAATGGAACAACGAGACAAGATGCAAATTCTGATTTTGTCTCGCGAGTTTGAAACTAAAAAAGGAACCAAAATTAGCCAAACAAACCTGTTCTGGCATTGGATTCGCCCAAAAGAACCGAACAATGAGTCTTTTGCCTTACAATAGCCATTATACGGACAGCTTACGTATCCGCAAACTCGCTTCATAACCTTATATCCAGTTTTGATATTTTAATCCGCCTCATGTGCTAAATGAAAGAACGTGGCACTGATTCGATCCGAAAGTTTTGAAAGTCAGTAAAGGAACTTAAGCGGATGTTGACGTTCAGTTTATCACCTTGCCAGACTTGGTTCTTATTTCATTACAACTATAACTTATGATAATGAAAATTCTTAAACACACCACAAAAATATATCACTCTTTAGTTAAATATTTCACGTGTGTCAAAAGTTTGAAAAATTAATTATAAATATACAAAAGTGAAATAGTTATAATCTATTATTTAGTTTTTCATGTCTCTCGATTGAGAAAAATTAACAACAAACAAAATGGTACCGTGACTTTAAGATTATATTTTTGTTGTTCAGCCCGTATAAATATTTTTCATTTCTACTTTTCATAGATCGGAAAAAAATATACGCGAACGTCTCCCATTAATCGCACTGTACCTTATATTATAATTTTCACAAGTGTATTTACCCAATTCAGATGAAGATTAAAATTTATGAGCTCTTAAAGCAGGAGTTGGTTATAATATTTGAATAATCTAAAAGCTATAACAATCGCTAAGTGAATTAAAAATTTTACCATTAGATTCGTGATGTGAGAGTGTTTTCTACTCCATTGCATTTGTTTTATAGCTACCGGTAAATAAGATTATAATAAATATTTGTAAAGATAATTTTAAATTATTATTATATTTATTCAGATTATTATGAGCAGAGCAAAAAGATTGAGCTTTAAAGTTGGTTTGGAAAAGTGGTACTATATATAAGATCTGACACATAATATGGGCGTGTCGTCCTCTGTCACAGGTGTTCAACCGCTACTGAACTGAATCGAATTGAGCCGACTGTTGTATGATTAATGGAGACATTTAAAAATACAAATTTACGTACGTAAATGGCAATAAGTATTTTAAATATTACAACAAATCTGTCAGCCTCAGTAACACAAAAATGTGGTGCACATGTTACAATTCTATTAACACATAATCAAATGTAATATCGCATTGTCAAAAAGTTCGTCACACCTTTCACTTCATTATACGGACGTCAAAGTTTTGTTCTTCCGAAGAATCTCTTTTTAGTGGAGCATGTTAACAGCCTTTTAACCGGTTTTTAGCCCATAAGCATTTATTATAGCTGCTGTTTATTTTTGCATCTGTCGCTCACGTGGGGAGCATTATATCTCTGGGTCAATTCTGAATCACTGACTGGCATAAAAATCCCCAAAGAAACCCATGAAGTTGGGGGCATTTCGAATACGCATCCACGCATTTGGTAAATCGATCTACGGGAAACTACAAATCCCCTTGAAAACTCGAATATGAACTAATACTGTTTTTATTTCCGTTGTAAATTATTCTGCTTGCGGTTATGGGAATAATTTTAATTATTCCAAAAAACTGGAATACAACATTGTGAATAATTAATAGGAGAATAAATACCCAGTCAAAAAAAAACTTTCCAACGAAAAATATAGCTTAATCTATACTTCATTATAATTTTATTTTAGTTCATTTAAATTCGAATTATATTACAATTAATTTAAAATTGCTTTTATACCATCTGTTTGCATTTCAAAAAAAATGTTATCAAACAAATAAATAAATTGGTTACTTAAAATTTCTTTTTTTATTTATAACATTTACCATTTATTGTATCCTATTTTAAAACTTGCGCGCCTTGTTTCGAAAACAGCATGACAACCCTACAATAGTTGATTAAACCAAAATGACTGAATGGTCACACTGGTTGTAGAAACGTAAACAAATTCACGGCAACACGTGCATTTAGTTCGTTCTCGTTTTATTAATTAAAAACAGCCATAATAATGGAATTATTTACAGTAAACAGGTAAATAAAGCGGTCCCAAAAACCAGCAGTGATAATCACCTAATGCTTTTGTAGATATACGGAGGATTTAAAGCAACCGAAAGATGGAATCAAAGACAGCGCCAATAACGAAGATGAAATACTGCAGAAATTGCTACAAAAGGCTGCAAAACGCAAGAGGAAATCCAAAGAAAGCCAAGTTATAGAAGCACCCGTCCCTGAAGAAGTAATACCACATGAAGATGAGCCAGAAACCAAGGAGGAGCAGGTGGAACTACCCCAAACATCCGAAGAAACAGTTGAGAAACAGGATGTGCCCTCCAATGAGTTTCAAGTTCTTGGAGACGATGGCTCGGCGGCCAAGAAAAGGAAGGTGGAGATGCAGCTGCCAAGTTGGCTGGCTCATCCCACTATCATCGAAGGTGGAAGCCTGCAGCCAGAGGAGGAGATACCAGCTTCAGAGGCCATTGACCAGCTGGACTACTTGGACAAATCAACCTGCCTGGCTCTCAAACAGATGAAGATTAATCGCCTTTTTCCTGTCCAACGGCAAGTCATCCCCTGGGTTCTAGAGGCTCATGCCAAGCCATCGCCCTTTCGTCCCAGAGATATTTGTGTATCTGCTCCCACGGGCAGTGGAAAAACTCTGGCCTTTGCCATTCCAATCGTCCAGTTGCTGTCGCAACGTGTGGAGTGCAAGGTTCGTGCTTTAGTGGTTCTACCTGTTGCAGAGTTGGCTCTGCAGGTCTACCGGGTCATAAGTTCGCTGTGCAGCAAAACTGAGTTGGAGGTTTGCCTGTTGTCCAAGCAGCACAAACTGGAGGACGAGCAGGATAAGCTTGTGGAGCTGTACAAAGGCAAATACTACTCTAAGGTGGACATTGTGGTGACCACACCAGGTAGGTTAACAGAAAAACAAATCCATTGAGCTGTTTCTCAAGAACAATCTCACCCTTTTTAGGTCGCCTGGTGGACCACCTGCATGCCACCAAGGGTTTTTGCCTAAAGAACCTTAAATTTCTGATAATTGACGAGGCCGATCGGATAATGGATGCAGTCTTCCAGAACTGGCTTTATCACTTGGACGGACATGTGAAAGAGACCACAAATCAGTTGCTGGCCGGGACTCAAGCCCCTCTCTGCTATGCGGAACTTCAGGCCAACTTTGGCAAGCAGCCGCACAAGCTTCTGTTCTCGGCCACCCTATCCCAGGATCCGGAAAAGTTGCAAAATCTACGGCTCTTCCAGCCGCGTCTGTTTACCACCGTGTTTACCATGCCCGTAATGAAGGATGTAACTGAAGAAAACGCTGATCCCGAAACGAATTCAGATCTCGGTCAATTTGTGGGAAAATACACAACGCCCGCTGAGTTAACTGAACAATTCTGTGTAACGGAGTTGCGTCTGAAACCGCTGACACTATTCGCTTTGGTGGAAAAGTATCAATGGAAGCGGTTCCTCTGCTTCACCAACAGCACTGATCAGGCCAGTCGCCTTACTCATGTTATGGAAACGCTCTTCAGCGAGACGCCCATTAAAGTGGCCGAGTTGTCGGGTAATCTCTCCGCTCTGGTTCGAAGCAATACCCTTAAAAATTTTGCCAATGGTAAGCTAAATGGACTGATATGCTCAGATGCCCTGGCGCGTGGTATCGATGTGGCGGATATTGATGTGGTCCTGTCCTACGAGGCGCCGCGCCACATTAAGACCCACATCCATCGAGTGGGCAGAACGGCCCGAGCAGGACGAAAGGGTACGGCAGTTACCCTGCTCACCGAACAAGATCAGGTGGCATTCAAGAAAATGCTCACTGATGTGGGCAAAGCACTGGGCGAAGAGATCCACGTTTCTCCAGACATTGAGGTGCAGCATGCAGTTAACTATAAAAAGGCATTGGACAATCTGCGTTTGCGCCAGCAGACTCAGAAGATCCAGAAGGCAGTGCAAAAGAAACGTGTAGCAAATCAGGCACTAGCTCATAAAAAAAAGCTGGCCAGTGCCACCGATCGTCCACTGACGCTGATGGAAAAGCTGCAGCTCAAGGCAGGCGCAGCTCAAACGGTGGAAGCATCCAAAATACAAAAGACAAAACCCAACAAACCGAAATCCGTGCAGAGAGAAACCAAGAAACAACAAATCGCCAAAAACCGAAAGGCCATCGAGAATTAATATTTGGGAATACCATGTGGAATACGTTGTTTATTTTAGTTTATTGTAATATAATAATGTAAATAACCAACAAAATGTTTTTTTGTATAGCGTGTGTCGTGGTTCGGGGTCTCCGGGAGCAATTTCTTATCTCTGGGGGCGCAAGTGATTCCCCAGCAGGTTCTTCACCGCAATCGGTGTTTGCTTACCCTGTATGAAAGTATTTGGGTTGACGCTTTCTTAGTTGCATATATAATTAAACAAATGATTTTATTCCTAAAGGACAACAAAAAATTATTAGTCTGAGCTTAAATAGTTTCCTTTATCTTTATTACGGTCTCCTTTTATTTTCTTTAATAAAAGTTTTTTCATAAAGTCATTACTTAACATTACCTTCATTTAATACGTATGACCCACAGACACTCTTCGTAATCAATTTAATGTGGTGAATCCATATTTGAACAGGTGTTTAGCTTAGGTATATAAACTTTTAATGGTTGTCACTGTTTTTCGTCTTTTTCAATTAATATTCTTAAGTCATATTTGTGTAAACTCAAACCATTTGTTTTGATCAAAATAAAATATCACTAAAATATATACTTTGCAAGCCTGTTTAAAAATACATTTAAGTTCTATTGTATTTAAGGGGTATCTATGTCTCGATTCTCAATTCAGTCTGTGTTGCCTATTTAAACAGCCTCCGTCAGCCGGAGAATTTTATAAAATCTTCAATCTCATAACGATGAACACATCAACGGCAATAAAGTTTGTGGCTGCTCTGGCGCTTTGCTCCATAGGTAATCCATCAAATTGAGAATAAACCTATACCCGATTAGCTAATCACGATCTCTCCTCCGCTCAGCTCTCTCCGCAGATGCCCTGCAGATTGAGCCCCGCAGCAGTTGGGGGGCAGTGGCTGCTCGATCGCCCTCAAGGATTTCTGGTGCCGTGGACTATGTGATCATCCATCACTCGGACAATCCCAATGGCTGCTCCACATCCGATCAGTGCAAGCGCATGATCAAAAACATTCAGACGGATCACAAGGGTCGCAGGAATTTCAGCGATATTGGCTATAACTTTATTGTGGCCGGAGATGGAAAGGTGTACGAGGGTCGTGGCTTTGGACTCCAGGGATCACATGCTCCCAACTACAATCGCAAGAGCATTGGCATCGTCTTCATTGGCAATTTCCAAAACAACGCCCCCTCCGCCCAGATGCTCCAGAATGCCAAGGATCTGATCGAGCTGGCCAAGCAGCGTGGATTCCTCAAGGATAACTACACGTTGTTTGGCCACCGTCAGACCAAGGCCACATCCTGCCCGGGTGATGCCCTCTTTAATCAAATTAAGACCTGGCCCCACTGGAGGCAAAACTAAGTCCAGAATTTGCTTAGGTTATACTCTTTAAATTTGCTAAAAATGTTGCTAGAATAAATGTACTTAAAGTCAGTTAAAAAAATTAATTTAATATGTTTTAAAGGGAAAATGAACTAAGATTGTTGGGAAGCTGGAACTCTAAAGTTTATTGCGGTTTAACATAAGCTATTTATTTTTGTTGAGAGTAGTGAAAATAAATTAGGTTTACTCTTAATAGTTATTGAAGGACTACAATCAAAAATAAAATTTTAAATCTTCTTAATTTATTCAAATTAGTTAATTATTTAACCCTAACACATACAAAATATTTACAGGAATGCAAGAAACGAAACACCAAGTGTTCCCCAAAAGAGATACATTTTACAGGATAGTTTAATTTTTATTATTTGTCATTTTTCAAAAAATGAATATGCATATTTACATAATTTTTCTATTGAAAAAAGTAAAGAGATTAAAAGAAGTTGCGTAAAAAGAAGAAAGCTAGATTATATTCGGACATCTACTGTCTCAAAAATTCCTTTAGAAAGCCTATTTTTAAGGTTTTGGCTGCCAGCGGGGCCACTTTCTAAGCTCGTCCAGAAGATGTTTTCCCGGGCAGGCAGTGGCCTTCGTTTGGCAATGTCCCACAAGAGCATAATTGGGCAGAACCTGGCGACGCTGCACAGCGATTTGGATGATCGTTCGGGCAGCTTGCAGCATCTGGGACGGAGGTAAACCATCTAAAGTATAAATAAATTAGTAATAATTAAACAGAGTACAAGCAACAAATAACGTACTCTGGAAATTGCCAATGAAAGCAATGCCTATAGATTGGCTATTATAGTTGGGAGCATGTTCGCCCCGGATGCCGAAGCCCAAGCCTTCGTAGATCCGACCATCGCCTCCGATCAAGAAGTTGTAGCCTATATCCCTGAACTTCCTGCGCAGATGATCCGCTCGAATTTGCCTAAGGACCGATTGGCACTGATGAGGATTGGAGCAAGAAGCCGTGGCCGTGTGGTGTATGACTATGAGTCGAACGGGGACCGAAAGCCTGGGCAATCTCGGAGAAAGCGGAGCAGGACACCAGCTCCTTCGGGGCACAATCTGGCCCAAGGCCAAAGTCAAGCCAAATACCAGGAGTGCCAATTGTAGCTTCATCTTTGCCTTTAGACAGTATGTGCTACTACTGCTACTGATCTGCGTATATATAGGCAGCCGAAATTTCAGACCAAGAATTGCTTTATTTACTCAGATGTTTTAATGAATGGGTTCAATCAATGTATTGCAGCATAATTAAATGGCAAGAAGCCTTTGTCTGGTTGCAAATTCCGCTTGCGTCATCCCTATAAAGACATTTATATATAAAACCCTCCAAGCTTTGTTGGCTTCTCTTCTTTGGGAATGCAAATCTGCCCTTGAACGAGGCGGTGGCCCAAAAATGGGTGGTCATCCGTAAACGGGCAACTGCATTTGAAAGTCAAATCCTATCGGGGGCTGCTATAAAAGCCACTTGGATGGGTTACGAGTGGACAGTGACCAGTGATCGAGTGGCCCAGGCAGTTACCCCAGGTTAAAGCCACATCATGAAGATCGTGAGTATGCTTAAGGGTAATTAAATTGGAATATTCATATATAAAAAGCATTATATTGTTTTAGGTTCTAGCCACCATGTTGTGCTACTTGCTGCTGGGACTGGTTCTGTCCAATGCCAGCATAGCAACTGCCACAACAGGAGTGATTCCGGCGGTTCCTTCCGCAATTCCTGGAGTAGTTCCCGTGGCCACTAGTCATCAGTTTGTCACCCGGAACTGGAATCGGCCTTATGTACCCTTAACCACGGTGGCCACGTATCCGAACACCTACATTAAGTCCAGCAGTGGCTATCCCACTTATCCCACATATCCCACCTACAATTATCCCGCCTACAATTATCCGTATGCCACGACCTATCAGTACGCCTATCCCTACTACTATCCCACATATAACTATGGATATGGATACAAGGGTGTCTGGTAAATTTTGTATCGACATTAAGGGTTTTATATTCACACCCTACCTTTAACCTATTGTGATATAAATCAATACCAAATGATATTATTTGTATATGCCTAAAAAATATATAAAACATTTATATCAAATACTTTGAGGGCTCTTTTGGTTTTTATACGCTTGCAGAGGGGATAAGAATTTTAGTCAAAACGTTGCAAAGCCGTGAATGAGACATTTCCGACCCTTAAAGATACATATCATATATATCATTTTGATCAGGATCGGCAGGCAAGTCGATCTAGCAATGTCCATCCGTCTGCCCGTTTGTCTATCCGTCCGTTGCATATAGTATATAAGTCGGAACGGGCCGGATAGGCCTACTAAATCATAAGGCTCTTATTGGAACAATTGGGAAAAAGAGGGTAATAAAACTATAATATATAAGAAATAATATTCTTAGCAATTCCTAAAATACGGTTTTAGTTTTGTAAAAATCGGACAACCATAAAAACCATCGAAAAATAAGGAAAATAAAATTGAAACTTCGTTGTTTCATTTTTAACTATTTCAGAATAACGGTTTTACATAACTTTTCTTGAAGACATCCGATTTCAAAGTAGTTTACTTCTAAAAGATCGTGGTTTAATTCCCTAAAAATCTGTGTTTTTAACTTGGTTTTTATTTTGGGGTCGATGTTACGATGTTATGCCCTTCCCAAATTTCGAAAATTGGCTTTTCAAAAAAGTAATCAAAACCTAAATTTCTAAGCCCATAACTTTTCTTACAGACATCCGATTTCACACTTCTAAATTATTGTGGTTTGATTTTTTTCATTTTAATTTTCAAAATATTGCTTTGTAGATAGCTACAATATTAATACAGATGAAGCGCTCTTGCCTTTATCTATCGAAAATAACAAAATATTTAAAATTTATTTTGATTTGCCTTACCATCTATTTTAAAAATTGAAAATAATACAAGAAATCACTGTACTTAGCGCGTGCCCAACTAAGCAAACGTAAAGCCAATTCAGAGTTGGTCTTGACACAGTTTTCGCGGTTAACCAACTTATACTTTTATTTTTAAATTAAACATCTAGGTCAAGCAGTAGGGCTTTTTAAAAGAAATATGGTGCTGGTACTCCAGGAGCAATAAAGCGAGTTGGTTGAATGAGGCGTGCGCCAGCAGATGGAAATGGGGCAGCAGCCAGGATACGAGCAGGAGGAGTCGGGGCAAAGGCGGCATTAAATTGGTTAAAGTAGTCCAATCGCTGGCTGCTGGACACGGCCAATGGGGAACCACCCAAAGGATTAATCAAGGGGGCAGCAGCAAAGGGCGCACCAGCATAGGCGGCAAAAGGAGCGGCCGATCCTGGATAGAATCCGAAAGGTGATCCCGCCGGAAAGAGAGCTGGATCCACAGCAGGCCTGGCTGCCACACTGGCCAGCAAGCCTAGAGATACAATAACCAACTGTAATGAGAAGTAGTTTCATTAATAAATCCTGACAGCGACTCTGTAAGTTTCTGCTCACCATTTGCTGCATTTCAAGAAGATTGCTGCTGTCACAGAGTCCAAAAACTGAATATGCATTGTCTTGGACCGACTTGGACCGTTTTTATAGTTTTTTGGAGGAGGAGACCACAGCAGGCCTGGCTAATAGCCGCTCCAAATCGTCAAACACTTGGCTCCAAAAGTGGCCTAAATGGCAGGTGCTGGCAAAGCAGCAAGAAATTAACATACGATCCGATATGGCTAAAAATGTTACGACATTCACATTAAAGTAATCAATAGTTGCTGACACATTATTGTCTTGCAACTAAGTAAAATCGTTTTCAAATGAAGATACCCGAAATAAAATAATAACAATATACATTTCCATTCGAAAAACCACATTTCCAAATAAAACCATTCTAAATATGCTTCTCACAGTTTAATTGATAGAACATAATGATGAGACAAAACCAATTAAAACATCTCTTGCACAGAGAGATTTGACAATAACTATCGTATTCGTATAATTGCATTACATATAAGAATATGTTTTTATGTATAATTATCGTATATTATTATTTAGCTGCTTGGGAGTTACTTGATCGTTCAGTTTCAGTTGCTCGTTCAGTTACGTATAAATATATATTTATGTATATAAGTAGTTAAATCATAAAACACTTTGATGCGACATTGCAATGGAATTAAACTAATTAGTCGTTAGTTAACTATGTAATCAATCAATCAATCAATCATAAAAATTATGCTTGCTGGCATAAACATAAACGTATCCTAGGAATATATGTAGTATTGTATGCTAGCACAGTGGTTGCACTTTGGATAAATCGTTATATGGGTAGACGACATCTAGCATAGGCAATTGATTAGTTGCTTTCGTTAGTTGGATCGATCTGCAGATCGATTGATGTTTCGGGGTGTGAGTATTTCATTATCTGTCGAGTGGGGAGTAACTTTAACAAACGCTTGTTCTCGTTTTAATTTTCGCTATGGCTTGCTTTGAATTTCCATGTGGATATATCTATATATACAAACTAGATCGCTAGGTTAGGATCTCAATTCTTTGGGATTGGTCAGATCTGGGAGTGAAATAATCCTGTACAGTCCTTGAAAGATTGTTACGATACTACATGTATTTTATGGCGATTGAGTTGACTAGATATATGTGGCGAATTATATATCGTATTAATTTCCTTCTCTTTCTCTTGAAGACTAATCCTCGGACTGCTCCCCATCCTCCCAATCCTCCTGATCCTACCACAGCACATCGTAGTCATACACATGCTCCGAGGAGGCGATGATCAGACACTTGAGAAAGTCATCTAGGGTGCGCTTCAGTTTCCACTTCTTCGGCTTCCTCAGCAGTTGCTGCAATGGCTTGGACTTAGCCTTTGGTTCGTGCCAGGGACTCGTGGATGTAGAGATAGATTTGGTTATCGGCTGTGGATACATTTGCTCCTGGGGCTGCTGGACTGGCAGATTGCTGTACACATGGCTGTTCAAAGTCTGCCGCAAGCTTTGCAATCGCTGCTGTTGATAGTAATGGTTGAGATTGGTCAGGAAGGAGAGGTCCGTGTCGTTAACCACATCGATCTCCGCATAGTTGTGGGCATCGACATCCGGCTCCGGTCGCTGCCCCGATGCCTTGGCAAAGAGTTGGTCAAATCACATGTTTTCATCGAACTTGGCAAAGTTCGCGTCCTCGCTCCACTGAAATTTTCCAGCCTCTGCATCGTCGTTGTGCTGATCGGGTGCCTGCTCCTGATCCGGTGACTTGAAGAACTCGTCGTCCTCAAAGGGATCTTCCTGCTTTTTGGCAAATATGTTTACCGACTCGGATTTTTTAATGAGTTCCTGGCGCTGCTGAAGCTTGCTGGTCCGCATATTCTGCTTTCTACTCATGGCACCCGATCCTCCAGCTACTGCTGCTCCTGCCCCAGCTTGTTCTTTTTCAAAGTCAAACGATGCCTTTGCGAAATCATCTTCAAAGGCAGCATCATCGAACTGGGAGACCTTTACATTATCATCGAATCGCAGTTTCTGGGTAATTGGTGGCGTTGAGGTTGGCGGTGTTTCCGCCTCAAACTGCTCCCGCTTCTCGCGATCCGAAAAATCATTGGAAAAACGGAACAGGCTCTTTGATCCGCCATTGTTGGCACTGGCCGAAACTGGACCTGCCGGCGTAGAATTGCAACTGGAGGCGGTACCTGCTGGTGCTGGAGGCGGTGAACTCTGATTAAAGTCCGACTCGAACCCGTCATCAAAATTGAACTTGGAACTAGTCACCCCGGCAGAAGATTCCCCGCCGCTCATCATTAGGCCACCGGGTCCAGTGCTACTAGCATTCGACCGTGGTGTGGGCGTTGGGGTTTGCTCATAACTGTCCACAAAACCATAGTCACTATTTACGACCACGCCACGGGTGCGATTCTGGCCAGAAAGCTTTGCGAGCGATGGTGGCTGATGACGCTCCATTTGCCGACGCTCGGATTCCAACATACGCTGGTGCATCTCATGCCGCCGGCGGTTCAATCGCTCGAATTTATCCTCATCTGTTGGCGGTTCATCGTCCACATAGTCCTCATCATCATCGTCGTCGTCATCATTGCGCTGGCCGGGACACATATAGTCGTAGTTATCCCGAATGCCACGCCCATAGCCTGATCTGCTGGGGGCGGTGGTGGCGGCACTGGGTGCACCCACTGCAACTAAATCCTTGGAACTGCGGGCACGGGTCTTCTTGCGGAATCTGCGGAAAGAGTTCGGTATTACTAAATATATTTATTGTTTTCTTTAGGGGATATCCCACACTGACCTTCGCTCTTTCTCGCCATCCGATGGAGTTTGCCCCAAAGCTGCTGCTCGACGACTCTCAGCCAAACGTCTTTCGCTTTCAGCGGCGCTGGCTGGACGCTTCCAAGATTTCTGACCTGGCAATGCTGGTTCTACAATAGAGTGTATAAGAAATTGAGGTTTTGGATCCCAAACATTAGGCACATACCCTCGCCATCCCAGGGACTAGAACCGCTGCTCTTGCGCAATCTCTGTGGACCCACGACCGCACTGGAGGGTAGCACCACGTCCCCGCCAAGCTGACTCGGTCGCTGCAGACTCCGAACACCCGATCGCTGCTGGAAATCCTGCTCAGAGTCCTGCTCGTAATCGATGTCTCCACTGATTCTGAGCTTTCCAGACGTGGTTGTGGGTTTTCGCAGGGAGCGGGTCTTTATCTGTTCGCGATCACGTTCCCGGTCCCTCTCCCTTTCTCCACGGTAATCATCACGACTGTCCAGGCTGCCGTAGACATCGTTTCCACTGCCGAAACTTCGTCGTCGCCGAGTGGCACTCTCATAAGATTCGAGGCTCTCCCGATCGAAGGACTTACGTTCGCGATCCCGATCTCTATCCCTTTCTCTATCGTACAGGTAATCACCACCGCCCCTTCCTGGCTTATAGGCCATTGGGGATCGTCCTCCGCGCTCCTCGTAGACATTTTCGTAGTCGAAATCGTAGCTGGGACGTGCGTAATCTCGATACTCCCGATCGCGATCTCGCTCGCGATCCCTATCCCTGTGATCCCCGCGATATTTGCTCCTCAGTTGGCCCCGCTTGTCGTAGATGGGCGGTGGCGGCCCATAGCTGGACCGCTCGTAGGCAGCACGGTCGAAAGATCGGCCTCGAGCTTGTTCAATCTCCTGCGGCGACCAGGTGTGATGTGCCGGGTGATGGTACCAACTGGGGGAATCTGTAAGGGTACGAATAGCGGCAATGATTTCGAAGATATAGGACAAAAGAAGTATATAAGAGCTCACCAAGTTCGAAGTTATCCCTGCTGCGGGAGAGACCATGTTTGAACTTCCGCTGCTGCTGTTGCTGCTGCTGCTGATCCCGACGTGCCATGAATTCAGCATCATAGCTGAAATAATACAATAAATGTAATACAAATATTAGAAAGTTAAACATCCCTTTCCCTTATTTAAACATTTATTTCTTTTAAATGAGTTTGCAGAAAAACTTCAGAACCTGAATTCTCTTTGAGATAACTTTAAGATCTCTATAGAGATCTTATAAATTCCTTTAAAGATTTATTTTTCTTTTAGACATATATTTAACATTTTTTGGAAGAAGATAATCAAACTGAGTTAATAGTTTATATTTATTTTAAACAAATTTAGGAAAACTGTCGTGTACAAAACACATACATATGTAATCATATTGCATGTCTACATAAAATGTTATTAACATGATTTTAAAATATTCCTTTCCAAATGTGCTTAAAACTGTTAGGATAGTTTTTATACCCGTTACTCGTTGAGTAAAAGGGTATATTGTATTCGTGCAAAAGTATGTAACAGCTAGAAGGAAGCGTTTCCGACCCTGTAAAGTATATATATTCTTGATCAGGGTCACTAGCCGAGTCGATATAGCCATGTCCGTCTGTCCGTCTGTCCGTCTGTCTGTCCGTCTGTCTGTCTGTCCGTATGAACGCTGAGATCTCGGAAACTATAAAAGCTAGAAGATTGGCATTTTGCATGCAGATTCTAGGAGTTCCTACGCAGCGCAAGTTTGTTTCAAAAAGGTGCCACGCCCCCTTTAACGCCCACAATCGCTTATATACGATTTTAAAAATTTAAATATTTCAGAAAAGTAAAAATGCAGTTTTATTGTGTTTATCAATACCTATCGAAATGTAAAAGAAATTTTTCAAATCGGACCATTCGTTAAAAAGTTATGCGTGATCAAAGTTTCTATCTCCATCTCCCTCGCACTCCCTTTACCTGAGTAACGGGTATCTGATAAGTCGGAACGGCCGGGATCGGCCGACTATATCCTATAGCTGCCATATAACTGATTGATCGGAAATGCCATAACTTTCGTGTTTGTAAAGTTAGGAAGTTGGGATTTTCTATGGGTTTTATATTTGGCCAATCAATCCGACCTACCAAATTTCATAAGGATCGACCGACTATATCCTATGGCTGCCATATAACTGATTGATCGGAAATGCCATAACTTTGGTGTTTGTAAAGTTAGGAA